CCATCTCAACCCTTCCTACCCACACAGTCGGGCCAGTCTATTTTAGCAAAAGACCATTTGGTTAAAGGAGGCTGACAAGGGAAAGAATCCAGATTTCTCCTTTTCTCTCTTTCAAAAAAAGATATAAATAAGCCCAAGATGGTCTGTTTCTGCCACCTTCTAAACAGACCTGTGATTAATTAACATCAGGACCATGGGGGACTACGATCAGAGGATGGGTCAGGTTGGCCGCAGACTCTGCCAATTCCACTCACCCAGGCTTTGAAGCCAGGGAAACTAGCCATCAGGAAACTATACAAACCTCGATTCCTCCCAATTTTGCAGGAAAAACCCAAGTCAGCAAAGAATATGGAAATCATAAAGGTATGAGGTCCACGGAGCCTGCATCTTAAAGAATGAACGCCCTCGGCCAGGCAGAATGGCTCATGCCTACAATTCCAGCACTTTCGGAGGCAAGGTGGGTGGATCATCTGAGGTTAGGAGTTCAAGACCAGCCTGGCTGACATGGAAAAACCCCATCTCTACTAAAAATACAGAAATTAGCCTAGTGTGGTGGCGGACGCCTGTAATCCCAGCTACTTGGGAGGCTGAGGCAGGAGACCCACTTGAAACTGGGAGGCGGAGGTTGCAGCGAGCCAAGAAGGTACCACCACAGCCGACAAAACCGGGAAAAAAGAATAAAAAAAAAAAAAAAAAAAAAAAAAAAAAGAATGAATGCCATCATCCCAAATCAGGTGATCTGGGAATGGGGCAATTTAGAAAGTAAAAACATACAACTCCCAGTTAAATTAGAATTTGAAGTTAACAAGAAGTAACTTTTTACTAAGTCCCCAATATTGCATGGGGCATACTTACACTAAAAAATTACTTGTTATCTGAAATTCAAATTTAACAAAAATTAGCTGGGTGTGGTGGTACACATCTATAATCCCAGCTACTCGGGAGGCTGAGGCATAAAAATCACTTGAACCCGAGAGGTGGAGGTTGTAGTGGCCTGAGATTGTGCCACTGCCCTCCAGCCTGGGCGACAGAGCAAGGCTCTAAAAAAAGAAGAAATTCAAATTAAACTGAGCATTCTATGTTTCAGCTGGCATCCCAGCTCAGGAATGACAAGAACAGTGCTGAAAGAGACACAGCTCAACCTACAGAGGTCTCCAACTGGTGGCCTCCAGACCATATGAGGCCCATGCGTGTGTGTTGCTCAGTCTTCAGTTTATAAAACTGGAACAGGCTGCCAACATTTTAAAGAACTTTGAAGGATTTCTGGCCTCTTTAAAAACGGGAAGCTTGGCCAGGCACGGTGGCTCACACCTATAATCCAAGCACTTTGGAGGCCAAAGCAGGCAGATCACCTGAGGTCGGGAGTTCAAGACCAGCCTGACCAACATGGTGAAATCCCGTCTTAAAAAAAAAAATATATAGGAAGCTCCAACCATGCAGGTAGTAGCTGCCCCACTATGGGAAAATAATGGGAACAGAAGGGAACATGCAAAAGAGAGTGAGACAGGAGGATCGCTTGAGGCTAGGAGTTCAAGGTCAACCCCAGCAACATAGTGAGACACCCAAGCTCTACAAAAAACTTAAAAATTAGCTGAGTGTGGTGGCACACACCTGTAGTCCCAGCTACTCAGGAGGCTGAGGTGGGAGGATTGCTTGAGCCTGGGAGGTCGAGGCTGCAGTGAGCTGTGGTTGCACCACTATACTCCAGCCTGAGTCTCAAAAATCAATCAATCAATCAATAAAAATTGTCATACAACAAAACTATTTTTTATTTTGCTGTACAGTTCTTTGAATCTGTTTTTGTTTTCTTCTTTTTGAGGCGGCTCACTCTGTTGCCCAGCCTCCACCTCCCAGCTTTAAGCGACTCTCCTGCCTCAGCCTCCCAAGTAGCTGGGATTACAGGTGCTGGCCACCACATGCAGCTAACTTTTGTATTTTTAGTAGAGATGGGTTTCACCATGTTGGCCAGGCTGGTCTCAACCTCTGGTAATCCACCCACTTTGGCCTCCCAAAGTGCTGGGATTACAGGCTTGAGCCACTGTGCCTGACTCAGTACTATGAATCTTAACACATGTACACGTTCATGTTACCAATACTGCAATCATGATACATCAAACATTTCTCTGTGTGATCCTTCTACATCCACATCTGCCACCCATGCTAACTTCTGGCAACACCATCATCTGTTCCCCATCAACATAGCATTGTCTTTTCCAGAATGTCAAATAAATGGAATCACACAGCATGTAACCATTTGAGGCTGGCTTCTCTCACTTAGCATCGTGTCTCTGGGGTTTGTCCAAGTTGTTTCACAATCACTATTTCATTTCTTTTCACTCAGATGAAGATGGCTATTACTGATTGAGTACCTACCCTGTAGCCAAGCATTTAGAAGACACATTGTCTCACTGGATCCTCACAGCAACTCCAGAAGGAAAGACATGTTACGCCCGCTTTATAGATAGAAGATCTGCGGAAGTTACTGCTGTCTGCCAGAAGCTGGGACTAAGCCCAAGCTCCAAACCGTTTGTAAAACTGCTCTGTTCCCAGAAAATGAGTAGTGAGGTACAGGGGAGACGATATCACCACCTCTCAGCTAAAATTCTAGAAGACATTGTGAATCTCATTTGTTTCCCACAGCTTCCCAGAAATGCTTGTGCTTTTTTTTGGAAACAAAAGTCTCCCTGTGTTGCCAGGCTGGAGTGCAGTGGCGTGATCTCGGCTCACTGCAGCCTCTGCCTCCCAGATTCAATTCTTGATTCAGAATCACTGAATCAAGCGATTCTCCTGACTCAGCCTCCCGAGTAGCTGGGACTACAGGTGCGTGCCACCAAGCCCAGCTAATTTTTGTATTTTTAGTAGAGATGGGGTTTCACCATGGTGGCTGGGATGGTCTCAATCTCTTGACCTCGCGTTCTGCCCGCCTCGGACTCCCAAAGTACTGGGATTACAGGTGTGAGATGCAGTGCCCAGCCATGCTTGTGCTTTTACCCATGCAGTTGGTGAAGGTCTTAAGCAAAGGCCTTGCAAATCAGGGGCCTAAGATAGCACTGATTCAAATCCCAGCTTTCAAGTACCACCTTCAAGGTATATGAAGTCACTACACCTCCCTGAGCCTAGTTTTCCTATCTATAAAATAGGGTAGCCAGACATGGTGGCTCACACCTGTAACCCCAGCACTTTGGGAGGCCGAGGTGGGCGGACCACCTGAGGTCAGGAATTTGAGACCAGCCTGACCAACATGGAGAAACCCCATCTCTACTAAAAATACCAAACATTAGCCGGACACAGTGGCGCATGCCTGTAATCCCAGATACTCAGGAGGCTGAGGAGAAGAATCACTTAAACCAGGGAGGCGGAGGTTGCAGTGAGCTGAGGTCATGCCATTGCACTCCAGCCTGGGCAACAAGAGCAAAACCATCTCAAATTTAAAAAATAGGGTAATAACAGAGTTGGGGTAAAGATTAAATGAGATAATAGCACAATATCAGCACGTACCAAGCATCCAATAAACCCCATTTTACAGATGAGGAAACTGAAGCTTATAGAAGGAAAGAAACTTTTAGCCAAGACAAAGAGGTAAAATGACACTAAAGCATCAAATGTTTGGTGGGACTGGTGGGAGCTGAAGCTAGAGAGATGGGTTGCAAGTGGTTTGATCATTAGAGGCCTACAACTGCCTCTGGAGCTCAGAGAAACAACAGCAAAGCCAAGACTATGGGTGTGGCTGGGAGCTCTCCAGGGGGCTTCTCTGGCCCCTTGTTGGCAGGTATTTGGGCCATTTCTGACCTCAGTAGTATCTCAACTCTGAAGTCCAGCAAAAGCATTTGAGCTTTTAAGAGTCAGAAATTATCTCCTTCCTGTATCATTAGACTGCATTTAAGTAACATGCTGCAAGTAAGCCAAGAGTTACAAATACAAGTGCCAGGCCAGGCACAATGGGTCACACTTGTAACCCCAGCACTTTGGGAGGCTGAGGCAGGTGGCTGACTTGAGGTCAGGAGTTTGAGACCTGGCCAACATGGTGAAAGCCCACCTCTACTAAAAATACAAAAATTGAGCACTGCGGCAGACGCCTGTAATCCCAGTTACTTGGGAGGCTGAGGCAGGATAATCGCTTGAACCTGGGGGGCGAAGGTTGCAGTGAGCCCAGATCGCGCCACTGCACTCCAGCCTGGGCAACAGAGCAAGACTCAGTCTCAAAATTTAAAAAAAAAAAAAAAAAAATACAAGAGCCAGACTGACAAAATCAAATGCTGTCTCTACCACTTACCAGCTGAGACACACTATATATATATATATATATATATATATATATATATATATACACACACACACAATCATATGTGTATATACACATGCATGTATATAGTATATGCACAGGCAATACTTGTTAAGCAGTAAGTAATATGAAGAAAAACATGGCCAGCATGGTGGCTTACACCTGTAATCCCAGCACTTTGGGAGGGCAAGTAGGATCACTTGAGCACAGGAGTTTGAGACCGGCCTGAGCAACATAGTCTCTATTTTTAAAAAATAAATCAAAAACAAGGTAAAGGAATAGAAAGTGATAGGGAAGATGACTAGATAGGTCCCCAGAGGGGCAATTTAGGCAAATACCTGAATGACACAAGGGAGGGGGCCATGCAAAGCTCTGGGGGTCTAGGGCAGGTCATTCCAGGCAGAGGGAAAAACAAGTGATAAGATACTGAGGTTGGAGTAATCCTAAAGGAATAGAGAAGTCAGGAGGCCCACGTGGCTGACTCAGATTGAAAGGGAAGAGGAATATCACACCGGACCTGATGCTTTGGCTTTTCCTGTGAGGTGGGGAGACACTGGAGGCTACTGAGCAGAGAACTCCATACCTAATTCAGGTTTTGATCGCTCTGGTTGCCTCTGAATTCATTACAGGAGCAAAGGCTGAAGTAGTGACCAGTATTCCAAGCCTATTTGATGACGGTTTGGACCAAGATGGTAGCAATGAAGACACTAAGAGGGGGTGGGCTTCAGATGTATTCTGAAGATAGAAGCAATAGGATTAGCCAAGGGTTTCACATGGTACATGAGGTTGATTGCACAGCTCCTGACCAACTGGACTGCTGGTGTTGCCAATACCTGGGAAGGGAAGATTGTAGGAAGCAGATTTGCAGGGATTGGGGTTAAGGAGTAAAGCATCAGGCATTCAGCTTTGGACATGTTAAGTCAAATGCACAAGTCTGAAAATGCAGGTTGTTGGCCAGCCAACAGCTTTGAATGCTGTGCCAAGAAACTGAAGTGGCGTCAGCTGACTTACTTAGGTTAACAGAGGTGCTCTCAAGTCAAGACTTTTAGACTGGGGATTTCATTATGGAATTTAGAATTTACTGCTTTGTAGGAAGTTACCTCAAAACCTAATGGCTTGAAATACATTTCCCATAGGTCAGGAATCCAAGCAGAGTCTGGGTGGGTCCTGCTGTTTCTCACAGGTATCTGCAAGTGGTTTTCTGGGGTGGTTGTCATCACGCCTCTGCTTTGGAAAAACATGTTTACAAACTCACATGGTTGCTCACTCCTCCCACACTAATGGCTCGCCCTCAGTTGCTTGCTACATTGGCCTCTCCTAACATGGCCGCTTAATTAAAAGGGAGCAAGCCAAGGAGAATGAGAAAATGGGGTAGCAAGTCTGAGAAGTTGCACTAGGTCCAGACTAATTAAGGGGAAGGGATTCTAAGCCAATACCAGGAGCCATTTTAGAAATTGAGAGTCCCATCTTTGAGGTGGTATTTCAAGGTATTTAAAAAACTATTCAGTGTATTAAATAAAACCAAAATATTCATCACATATTGATAAATGATGCAGTCTGTTTTTGCAATTTCTTATGAAGTTTATAAACACAAATAGCATACCCCAAACCACCCTTATTCACCTCATGCAACCACTGGTCTAATACCCATAACAACACATACAACCTTGAGCAGGTGTAAGCATACCCTCTGCTTCTCTGCACCTGGATTTGAACTTCTGCCCAAGTGTGCTTGCTTATTCTTAGGTTTCCAACGCAGAAGCCAATCACGAGGCACTTAACGCCTGTGGAATGCCATGCTTTGCCTGCAGAAACCAACTGCCCACTACAGTGATCCTCCCCTCAAAAACCTAAAACCAAATGAAACTGCAAATACCTAACTGCTACTTGTTATCCATATTCAATGGTTATCTCCAATGAACAAACACAATAGCATTTTGATTTGAAAGATTTTATTTTCTTTGGCCGGGCAAGAAATTTCCCCAAGATCTAACAATGACTGATTCTTCCAAGTGGGCACAGCTATGTCCACAACAACCTTGTCGAACTGGTTCAGCCAGATCTTCACTTTCATGGAAGCACAGGTCTGTCCTTTTCTTTCCAGAGGCCTCCTCTCATATTCCACCACCAGTTTCTAAAAAAGAAGGTGGATCGCCATCAGTGCTCCATTCCAGATTATGGTGCTTCTTGTTTACGGCATGAAAACATGCATGTGCCTAAGACCTGGTCACTCCAAGTCCATCCACTTTGGTATACAACAAAATATTGATCAAAGGAACTGGGAAACTTCCAATGTTAAGACAACTTTAAGTCTGTACTTTACTGAAGCCCATGTTGTGCTGTCAAAATGTTTTAACCTTTATCTCAAAATGACTTCATAAGAATCATTGTTATATGCAAGAAGTCATGAATGTTGGACTTTAGGAAACTATGCACATTCACACATCCATAAACTACTTCTGAGGGGAGGGCAGAAGAAAAAATTATAAAAGAAAAAAAAATTCTAAGATGAGTCATCACTGACCAACATGAACTACAATTTCTGTGGGTTTTGAGGTTTTAGTTTTATATAAAAGTTGAATTATCAGGAGCCACACCTATTAATCTGCTTATTCCCCTTCCTAGGACACTAGGCAAATTGGAGGATGATGCAACACAGGGATTTGGTAAAATAGCTTTTTTATTAGCACAGCTTATTGTAAAGGTCAGCAGAAATAACATACAATTATGGTGACTCAGACCACAGTATGCTTATCTGCTGTAAATTCCAGCCATGTGACCAGACATAGAGGTAAGTGTCCCCAAGAGACACAGAAAAGGAGTGGTGCTACTTTCTCTTAAAGGACTTAAAGGTGTAGACTTCCAACACCTGTCAGCTGTGTCTGTCTCTCCTGTAACCAGGAGGTGAGGGTGGCTCATGGTAGTAGTTATGACGAATCTTATACAAGTACGATCAGTTGAATCCCAACTTAAACTTAAGTGCATTTGCCAAGGAAAATTAGCTCCATCCAATGTTCAGTCACTTTGTCGTCTTTTACAAGACTGTTAGATAATGGGTTTCTCTTCCAATTTTAACTTCCTTATTCTTTGTTCTCAAGGTTAACCCTCATACCTTCCTGCTCCTAGTTACCCATTCTGTAAACAACCTCTCCTGCCAATCCTAACCTGTAAACCACATCTGTTCCTTATCCAATCAGGACTACTTAGACTGTGTGCTCCAGCCAATGGGGATAGGACACAGAAGCAGGGACTAGCTGCATTAGGGATAAAAACCCCTTCTCTCCTTTGTTCAGTGTGAGCAGCAACCTTTGGCAGAAGTAAATTTGCCTCATTTTCTTTCCAACTCCGAGCTCTTATTTCCAACAAATTGGGGGCCCATCCAGGATTCCCATTCTCCGTCAGGAGGGGCCAGTGACCACCTCTCGAGAGGCATCCCACCACCTTGTTGTGGTGGCCTCACAAACAGACTGGGTCCCACCCTCAACAACACAGGCAGAAACGATCCTCACATAGCACAGGGACCAGGTAACTCTCCACAGACTAAGGTAAGAAGTCATGGGGGCAACAAAGTATTTTCTTGGAGGTCGGTACATTCTGGAGGTTGAAAGTGTGTGAATGAGATGCACAATTGAGTTCAAAGCGTGTGTTGGGTCTGGATCTGCAGTTCGGTGGTCACCTCATACAGCTTATGGTGGATTCCTGTCTTGGGGCTTATACCAACACACCAACGCTAAGAGGGACCTGAAATATTCCCTCCAGGGAAGCAGTCAGAAGGATAAAGCAAAAGAAGAGTGCAAGAAACCTCCAGTGGTGGTGGGGGGGTGTAGTTTGAGCATGTAGAGATAGGAAAAGGAAAGAAATCTCCAGAAGCCAACTCCGCTGAAAGGAGTAAGGTCTCTACCCCCAAACAGCCTGCTAACATGGGGCCCAGTAGATCACCTGGCTCCATCAAATCCCCTGCCTCAAGCAGGCATACAGGACGCCCCTACTCAGTCCCTACACCATCTAATCCCGAATCAATGCCCCACATTCCCTTAGCCACATATTCAAGCATGTGCCTCCCTCGGAAACTTGAGCATGAAATACAAAGGAACAATGTAAGAAGGATATTCTGAACTTCCCTTTCCCCTCCACCTCCAAGGAATCAGCCCCAATTCTCTTCCCCTCAAGGGAAGTACCACTTGGGGAAGGAGGCACTGGCTTCAGGGAAGAGGCATCAGCTTCGTAAATGTCCCCTTAACCAAGTCCAAAATCTAAAAAAAGAACTCAAGCCCTTATGAGATGACCCTTATAGGGCAGCAGATCAAACTGATCAATTTTTAGGATCCAGTTGTATACTTGGGCCAAGCTTATGTCCATTTTAGGCATTGTCTTCTTGGGAGAACCACCATGTTCCATAGGGCTGCTATGGTAGTCTGGGAATAGCCTCCCAGTCAAAATGCTCCTGCTGCAGAACAAAAATTCCTGGCCAAAGATCTCCAACGAGACAGTAACAACGCAGCTCACTGAGAAAATGTAAGACCTAAGGGATATGATAGGGGAATTCGGGAGTCGGTACCCAGAATATTTCCCAAGCATTCAACAACTATAAGGAAGGAAGAAGGACCCATGGAATTCCTAAATAAGCTTAAAGAACATATGAGAAAATAAGCATGTTTAGAGATGCACGACCCACTGGGGCAAGGGATGCTAAAGCTTCATTCTGTTCCTAATAGTTGGCCAGACATCTCTAAAAAAACTACCTAAGATAGAAAATTGGAAAGACGGTCCCATAGACAAACTTAGACATTCATAAAGCATAAGAAGGGACAAAGAGAAGCAGAAACAAAGGGCAAAAATTATGCTGTCCACCTTACAACAGGGAACTCTGCAATAGAGCACACAAGGAAATAAAACTTAAAAATCCTCTAGGCCACCAGCGACTAAACCATAAGAATAGGCAAATGAAACCTGGAGGTCACAGTGCAGGACAAAGAGGGGAAAACAAATGTTTCACATGCAGAAGAGTGGGTCACTTCAAAAGAGAATGCTCTGATTGGGAAAGAGAGAAGGCCACTCACTTATGGCCTTAGCAGAAGAATAGGGAGGTTAGCGGCTGTCTTACATGTTGGCCCAAAGGGATTCCTCACTTCATTAAATCTACTTAGCACTGCAGAAGAAAATTCATTCCAATGTATGGGTAGGAAAAAAAGAAATTGAGGAAGACTTCAAGTCACTCCAATCCATACAGTTAAGGAACCCAGGGGAAATGGTAAGAAAAAACCAATATCCCATTCCCTAGAGGGCAGAATAGGCTTAAAGCCTGTAGTTGAAGGTCTCATTCAGGATAGACTCCCTGAATGCTCTATGTCCTCCTGTAACACCCCGATATTACCTGTAAAGAGATAAGATGGGGCCAGGCACAGTGGCTCATGCTTGTAGTCCTAGCACTTTGGAAGGCTGAGGTGGATGGATCACCTGAGGTCAGATCAAGACCATCCTGGCAAAAACGGTGAAACTTCTCCCACCAATCCCAACCTACAACCTGCATCTGTTCCTTATTTGGAAAAGTCCCCATCACTCCTAGCAACCCTCTCTGTAAACACTTGCGACTTTCCTGCAGAAACTGCCCTTTCTGCTGCTGTAGCCTACACCTCTGCTGTTTAAAACCCCTTCCCTCCTTTGTTCGGCATGCTCTTGTGGCCAGGAGTGTGAGCAGCACCCTCTGGCAGAAACAAATTGCCTTGCTGAGAAATCTTTTGTTGGAGTGCTGTTCTTTGCTACTCCGAGCTCTTATTTCCAACAAAGAACTGTTGGTACCAACAGGCCAATGACTTGTTCTCCCAGCTTATCCAACATGGAAACGGGTCCTGAAGTTAGGCCCAACTGGACAAATTTGGCTGGGGTTGACAGCTAGAAAACAGAAACCTTACCTGTTACAAGGTAGAACGAATCAAGCAAAGATCAAGCTGACAACACACTGGCACACGTGGCTCAACCTATAGGAACATAACAGGTCAAAATAAGCTACCTGAATGGTAGAAAAAAAGAGTAAGCCCAATTCTAATGAATAAGAAGCAATAGTCTCTGATAAAGATAAGCAGAAAATAAAGATAGGAGTTATTACTGGGGCCAATGCATCAGACAAAACTGGCCAATAGTGTAGAGATCAACAGGGTCGATCTGACGGGGAAAAAAGCTGTGTCATCAGCTGCAAAGGCCACATTTGAGTCATACAAGTAGGGTGACAAACCCACACTGAAAACCCCCCTCCACAGAGCCTATGCCTAGTCAGCCAAGCAAGATATGTTGGCACCACTTACCAGTTACATATATACTCTATTTCCCACAACCAGATTCATCCTGGTCCAATCAAAGCCTGGTTTTGGCCAACAGCAAACCTGAGATGAAAAAAAACAGAAAAATGAGCTCCCGTCAGCTAGATGCCCAGGGAAGCTGGGACAGAAGAGCTGCTCAAGCTGGCATATCAGACAGAAACTGGCTTAGAAAAGTTAGATCAACATGGTCGATCTGTCGGGGAAAAAAGTTCAGTCATCATATATGCCGGCAGGAAGCTCTTAAGTAGTAAGACTTGAAAGCCCTGAATGAGTCAAGATTTGGTTGGTATGCTTCATATCTGCGAATTTGCATTCAGTGTTTGGGCACTTCTGTGTTCTGTCCTATAGCTGGCAGTAATTTAGTGGCCAAAACGCCCCTGTCTTTGCTGCCTACATTCTATTTGAGTATAGGCCCATGATAGAAGCCAGTGTGGCTGATAAAGCTGAGGAAGTAGTTGGGATTTACTGAGTTGCTAAGTGAGCAAGTGCCAAGAGGTTGCATTTTAACACAAGTTGCCACAAACACCTGACAAAAGAACAATCTGGAACAGTAAGCTTCAAATGTGTTCCCATGTGGTCCAGATGTTAAATGCCTCACTCCTGGACTCCAGCAGAGTTATGCAGTAGGACATTGGATAGTTCAACAGAAAAACACATTTGGCTTTCTAAAATACGTCAATATATCATCCACTTGGAAACGTAAGTGCCCAAGCACACAGGTATAATGGAATCCAAAAATATGCTTAAGTGGCATTAATATGTTAAGATACCTTTTCACTAACAAGGTTCTTCCACTTCAGGCATTCCTCTTAAACCTATTTCTCCACCAGAAACCTAGGTCCAATAGGTAAATTGCGAGAATAAAACATTCAGAACAGTTTTTAAAATACCGAACAGGTGGCTCAATAGAAAATGTTTTGTTAAATCCCACGTTTTATCTAGGAAACTAAAGGTTCTCAAAGCACGTGTTTTCTACAATAGGCCCATAGGAGACTAAGGCTTACTCAGGAGATTGAAGATTGTAGATATCTGCACGTAGTTTCCTTGGAGGCCCAGTGGTGACTCCCTCCTCCAAAATCCATTGTCCCCTCTGGCTGCTCTAACCTGTGAACAAACAAATAAAATAAAGGGAGTCAACCGCCATCTTCCCAAGATCGGAAACGAACAAGGCCGGGCCTTTTGAGGCCGGTGTGTCAGAAATAACTGGCCAAATGTTTTAAAACGTCAGCATTGTCGATCTGATGGGGAAAAAAAGTGGAAAGTCATCATTTACACCAGCCAAGGGCTTCTCAAGCTTGTGCAGAAAGCATTGGCTTTTCCAGCTCTAACTCATTTCTCTCACATCCTTTTTTTTTTTAAAAAATATATAAAGAAGGGGTTTCACCATGTTGGTCAGGCTGGTCTTTAACTCCCGACCTCAGGTGATCCGCCCGCCTTGGCCTCCAAAGTGCTTGGATTACAGGCGTGAGCCACCACGCCGGGCCCTTTTTTTTTTTTTTTTTTTTTAAGAGTCTCGCTCTGTCGCCCAGGCTGGAGTGTAATGGCAGTCTCGGCTCACTGCAACCACCGCCTCCCGGGTTCAAGCGAGTCTCCTGCTTTATCTTCCCGAGTAGCTGGGATTAGAGGTGCCTGCCACCAATTTTTTTTTTCTATTTTTAGTAGAAACTAGGTTTAACCATGTTTCCCAGGTTGGTCTCGAACTCCTGACCCCTGATCCGCCCGCCTCGGCCTCCCAAAGTGTTGGGATTACAAGCGTGAGCCACCGTGCCCGGCCTCTCCCACACCCTTAAGGCCTATTTGGGGTCAGAGCCGGAGGAGCCACGAGGGAGACCAGGGTCGGCTGCAGAAGCGACAGCACAAAGAATGAAAAGAAGGACCAGAAGTTTCGGACTAAGAACATGGAATTCCCACTCACCACACACAAAACGGGAACCCACGAGCAAGACGATGGTGTATGAAGCGTGGCTGCAACCCACAGAACCACCGCTCTGCTAGCACCGCAGACGCAAAAGAACGAGGGGCGCCTGAACCTCCTTTATATAGCCAGATACGGCTCCTGCACCTGCGCACTGGACCGGAGGCGCTCTCTTTCCGGCCCGCTCTGCGCCGGGACCCCTGGGAAATGTAGTCTCGAGCCGCACAGCCCGAGGCGTTCTAGTAGTTATCAAGGCCGCGACTAGCCCCGCCCTCTTCCCTGTAAACGCTGGGGCGCCTGGGTTCTTGTGCTTCGCCGCCATGTCGCGCGTAACACTCATTAAACCCCTCGCCCGGTCTCCCTTCCTCCGGGGCCCGCCGAGGCCTGCAAAGACCTTGGGCGCAGTCAACCCGCCTCCCATGGTCCGCTCACCTCAGCCGCGCCCGCCTGAGCCCTCCTGCCCCGCCTTCGGGGGTAGCTGAGGTGACGCCCGCCTCGAGGGCGGGGGCGCCGGCCATGTCTGGGCCAGGCCCTCGCGCTCGCTACCCTGGGCTCCCGCCTCCTCCTTCCCCTCTGGGCTGCCCGCCCGGCTCCGCCCAGGGTCTGCGGGGAACGGAAACCGAAAGTGCGCGGCGCCGGGCGGGGCCACCGACCTGCCTGGGCCGAAGCCCCAGCACTCGCCGGCAGCAGTGAGTGGACGCGCCGGAGCTGGGTGAGTGGCCCCGCAACTGTCCCTGCCCTGCCCCGCCGCGCCCCCTGCCACTGCCTCTGCCCAGAAGCCCCGTCACCCTCTCAAGCCCACAGCGCCCCCGTCACCCGCGCAGAGTGGCCCCTGGCCCCTCAGCATCCTGTCGCCCCCTCAACCTCCGACCCCCATCACTCAGAGCCTTGTCACCTCCTTAGCCCCCAGCGCCCCCATCACCCACTCAGAGCGCCACTCAGCGCCTTATCGCCCCCTCAGACCCCCAACCCCAGATTTCCATCACCCACTCAGTCTCTGGCCCTTCTCAGCTCCCTGTACTCTCTTTAGCGTCCCCATCCCCTAAGCTGGCCCGTCGCTCCCCCCAGCACCCCCCGAAGCCATCACCACCTCTGCCCTCACCACCTCTATCTCCTCTGCCCCCTCCCTTTCCTGTGACCTCCCTTTTGCCACTCGTACCCCCCCCATCCTTCTCGCCTCATCTCCTGTCACCTTATCCATCCCCCTCTTCTACAGAGCACCTTGGCACCCCACTCAGCACCGCCAGCTGCTCGCTGCCACCCTCTCTGGGAGGCCCCCATAACCCCACCACCTCACAGCCTTGGCGCTCCCTGACCCCGTCATATTTCCATCGGGGAAAGTGGGCCCCCTGGGTCAGAGACTCCTCCAGGACCCTGGAGACTTCCCCCAAACCCAGCCCTGCCTCCGGCCTCAGCCTCCTGCGTCCCACCCTGGTGATGACCAGCCCCTCTCATTCTGACCCCGGGCCATCTTAACCATCACCGATTTTTTTCTTGTCCTTTAGGCCTTGATTACCCCCAAAAAAACATTTCAGTCTGTTTTTGATCCCAGCATTTCCTGTTCCTGTCCGCTCCTCCCTTCCTTTCCTTGCCTTTTCTTTTCTAACATTTCTTTTTCTCCTTTCTTTTCTTTTAAATTTTCTGGGGTTTCTATGTTAATATTTTTCAACAAGACGAAGAAGGAATTTTCCCCTCAGAGAATTAAAAATAAACAAACAAATTCTAAACATTGAGCTTGCGCCAGGAGGGCTGGGTTTGATAAAATGAGGGAAGGGACTCGTGAGAAATATTCCCAGGAGGAAGAAAAGGGACTCCTTTTTCTGATGAGAATAAAAGCTGCCCGTCATATAATGCTAAATGTAGTCACAGTTTCCAAGTATGAATATTTTAAAACTCAGTAAGGACAGTCTCAAAAATCCCTTTCCTGAGGACTCTGAGTCACCCACTGTTTCCTGAGCCCCAGCCCACACAATGTGTATGAGTTGGGTTGAGAAGTTCCCTTAAAGGGGCTTCCTCTTCCTCTTGTAGGACCAGTGTCAAAAATCATCAAGGTAGAAGAATGAAGAGGAAGAAAGAATTGCAAATTTCTAGCTAGTCCTGAGGAAATAGCACCTCATAGTTGCCAAGCCTCCTGATTATTGAAACATGTAATTTCTTTCTCTTGATTCAGTAGAGCAGAGCGGGGAGCTTAATCATTTGGCTCCATTCCAAAAAGTAGGATAAGGGGATAACTGCTCACTAATTATTTATAAACTATAGGATACTGCAACCTATTGTGTACTATATACGTGGCAGATATAGTATATAAATGCCAGATAGGGTGGTGAGTACATGGTTTTGGATTAACAAAACCTTGGCAAAACCTTTTTCCCTGGCAACAATATTTGTCTTCCTCTTAGGAGAGGAAAATGAAACCTAGCAACTGATTAAGTAACTTGGCTAAAGGCGTAAACCAAACAGCAGTTTTGAATGGGAACTGATGACATTTCCTCTACCCCAAGAAAGTGCAAGGGTAAAAGAAAGGGGAATTCGATCTCTTGAAATCAGGTAAATTGTGAATTTACTATTTTACATCATAATTGATCATTCACAGAGTTGAGCACTTGTGCTCCAGATTAAAATCTGCATTTAACCCATAGTTAACAAAATATGTCAACAAAGGCAGAAGGACTGGCTTGATGGAGTTTGGGTTTTTCCTGCTAGATGCTGTGCTTCAAGGACACTGATAATTCAACCTGTGTAGTTTTCCAGATAACAGAAAGTAACTTGGAAGAATTTGGGTGACTCAGACATGGAGCAGAGAAGACTTCATGTGGATGCCAGGCCCAGGAATCCCCATACCAACCACAGAGGTAAGCAAGGTTTCCTACCTAATGAGAAGGAAATTCTAGTAATAAGAGAAGGAAATCAGCCTCCCTATGAATGAGCAGGCCCTACCTAAGATGATCTGCATCTCTCAAGTAAAGAATGACTATGGCTGGATGCAGTGGCTCAGGCCTGTAATCCTGGCACTTTCGGAGCCCGAGGCATGAGGATCACTTGAGCCCAGGAGACTGAGACCAGCCTGGGCAACATGGCGATAGCCTGTCTCTACAAAAAATACAAAAATTAGCCTGGTGTGGTGCTCTGTGCTGATAGTCCCAGCTACTTAGGCTACTTGGGAGGTGGAAGGGGGAGGATCCCCTGAACCCCAGGAAGGTGGAGTACGGAGAGCAGAGGTTGCCCTGGACTGTGATCTGCCCTCTAGCCTGGGTGACAGAAAGAGACCTTGTCTCAAAAAGAAAGAATGACCTCTTAATTACAGCATGAATTACTCTGAAAAACAGCCAACCCTCCACTTTTCCTGAGAGAGTTGATGAATGGGTGCAGTTCACTTTAACAAAAACAGTGATAGAGTTTCAGAAAGGGGAATAACACTTGGTGTAGAGCATCATCTAACAGAAACAGTGTAAGCCAAGAGCATAATTTTTTATTGTCTAGAAATATCATTTTAAAACGTAAGAAGAAACAGATGAAATTTATTTTATTTATTCATTTATTTTGAGATGGAGCCTCACTGTGTTGCCCAGGCTGAGGTGCATTGGCACCATCTCAGCTCACTGCAGCCTCTGTCTCCCAGTTTCAAGCAATTCTCCTGCCTCAGGCTTTCGAGTAGCTGGGATTACAGGTGCCTGCCACCATGCCCAGCTAATTTTTGTGTTTTTAAGTAGAGATGGGGTTTCATTATGTTGGATCAGGCTAGTCTCGAACTCCTGACCTCAGGTGATCCACCTGCCTCAGCCTCCCAATGTGCTAGGATTACAGACGTGCCCCTGCTGCTGGCCTTGAAATTTATTTTTTAAATTTAATGACAATTTAATAAAATTGAGTAATTTAATGTTTTATTTAACCCAGTATAACCAAAATATTACTTGATTATAATAATTGAATATAGCTTATAATACTTTAATAATTTACATAATACTTTTGTTTCCCTCAAATACTCATTTTAAGATATTATCAACATAAAAATTTTTAATGTAATACTTACCAATCTTTGGTACTAGCCTTCAAAATCTCATGTGTGTTTTACATGTCTTAATTCAGAGTAGTTACATTTCACAAACATAACATCTACATGTGGCTGATGGCTTTGTATTGGATAGTGCAGGTCATGAGTCCTAGTCACCAAAGCTAACTTAGTTCCAAGAGCATCAATCTACTAAAGGAATTATTCTGCTTACTCAGAGCTTTCTAAAACTAAACAACCAAATGGATTCCTGTTTTTCTGTAAGTTTGCAATGTGTCTTTCAAAGAGTTTTAGTTGTGGGACAAATGAGGAAGAACTGTAGCGTCTTATGAGTTATGTAAATGGTTTTTGTTTTTGTTTTTTGGTTTTTTTTGTTTTGAGACAGGGTCTTGCTCTGTTGTCCATACTGGAGTGCAGTGGCACAATCTTGGCTCACTGCAACCTCGACCTCCTGGGCTCAAACAATCATCCCACCTCAGCCTCCCATGTAGCTAAGACCACAGGCAGGCACCATCCTGTCTGGTTCATTTTTGTATTTTCTGTAGAGATGGGGTTTTGCCATGTTGCCCAGACTGGTCTGAAACTCCTGAGCTCAAGCGATCTGCCTGCCTTGCCCTCCTAAAGTGCTGGGATTATAGGCGTGAGCCACCATGCCTGGGCATGAATGTTGAAAGAATAAGAAGTGTTACAATTTCCCATTCTTCCAAGACATAGAGTCTTCTAATCAGATAAAAATATTAAAAGTAGGCCAGGCACAGTGGCTCATGCCTGAATCCCAGCACTTTGGGAGGCCGAGGCAGGTGGATCACGAGGTCAGGAGATCAAGACCATTTTGGCCAACATAGTGAAACCCCATCTCTACTAAAAATGCAAAAATTACCTGGGCGTGGTGTCACATGCCTGTAGTCCCAGCTACTCGGAAGGTGGAGAGGTTGCAGTGAGCTGATATCGCGCCACTACATTCCAGCCTAGGGAGAAAGTGAGACTCTGTCTCAAAAAAAAAAAAAAATTGAAAGTAGCACTTTTTTCTGATTTGGGGGGTAGTTTGAAAGTAAATATGTAACTAACATTTATAAAAATTTAAAGTTCAGTTGTACATCATTTATAGTTTATCAGATATTCCTTTATGTGGTCATATTTAAATTTTCTCTACAAAGTGCAAAACAAGGAAAAGTGTGCATAAATGGATTTAGTATCTGATGTCAGGAAATTATATGATCATCTCAAATATAACATGCATTTAAAGCTTTTATAACTTTTTTATCAAATCATTGCATACAGTCATCATTTATTTGTTTTTAAAATCCACATCTTTCTGCTAAGTTGGGTCAGCTCCAGAATCAGTTTTAGCAGGAAGGAAAGTGAAAAAAACTGGACTTTGGGTATGTTGTGCAAGGTTATTTATGATATGTGGGGCAGATCAAGGAAGACAAGTTCGGCTTCATCCACAGAGTGATACTAACTGTCTTGTGTGTACTGGGTATGTCCTCACCACTCCTTTCTTCCCCTCCTGCTTCTTATAAGGGTTGGTAATTGGTAAGTACTTTAGGGATGAAGTCATGCTGCAGAAAGGAGGAAAACTTGGAGTTTCGTTTTTCAGTTTCTTTTACAGTCTGTTAGCTCAAAAACATCTTGGTAAAGGAAAGCCCACCTTTCTCTTTCCCATTCAAACTGCATTTGCTAATGCTGGACAGCATTCGGGTAATACTTCCTGTTATGATTTTATTTCACTTAATGTCTCTGTTGGCTGTGATAATTGTTTAGCGGTAGAACCAGTGGCTCCCTTAGAATCAAGAGTATATTCCCAATTACTGCTCCTAGTAACAACTAACATTTACTGAAAGTTTTTAACGTGTCCAGTGCTATACTAAGCACTTTATAAACATTTAATCTTTATAAAAACCCAGAAACTGAGACTTAGAGAAATTATACAACTTGGCCAAGATTATATAGTAAGGAAGTGGCCAGGCCAAGATTTGAACCAAGTCAGTTTGGCCCTTAAACTCACGTTCTGACTGTTACTTGGTACTGGCATGAGATTAGAAGCAGTGAGACATACTGCATGTATTTATTCTTTTAACACATATCAGGTACTCAACAAATGTTTATTCCTTTTCCCTTTTGCATCCTTTGTAAGAATAGTATTTTCCTAACTTCTATGACAATAATAATTATCTTTCATTTATTACATGACTTGGTAGAAACCTTTTTTCTCATCATATAAAACCTGAGCTTTTTAGTTATTCTGTTGAATTTCCAACAGAACTTGGTTCTTGTGCTTACTTAATATTTCATTGTGTTTAGGGCCTGTGGATGGAGAGTTACCACCAAGAGCTAGAAATCAGGCCAGTAACCCACCAACCAATGCTCTCCGAGGAGGAGCCGGCCATGCTGGAAGGCATCCTAGAGCCAACAACCATCCTGCTCCTTACGGGCAGAGGGAACAGAGATTTGGGGCCATAGGCAGGCCCATGCATCAAGGAAGGAGGAACCAGGAGGGGCATGCCAGTGACGAAGCTAGAGGCCAAAGACATGACCAGGAGAATGATACCAGGTGGAGAAATGGCAACCAGGAGTGTAGGAACCGCAGACCACTGTGGTCCAATGACAACTTCCAGCAGTGGCGGACGCCCCACCAGAAGCCTACTGAGCAGCCACAGCAGACAAAGAAACTGGGCTATAAGTTCTTAGAAAGTCTACTGCAGAAAGACCCTTCTGAGGTGGCCATCACACTTGCCACAAGTTTAGGGCTGAAGGAGCTCCTTTCTCATTCTTCCATGAAATCTAACTTCCTTGAGCTCATCTGCCAGGTTCTTCGGAAGGCTTGCAGCTCCAAAATGGATCGCCAGAGTATTCTCCATGTACTGGGCATATTGAAAAACTCCAAATTTCTCAAAGTCTGCCTGCCTGCTTATGTGGTAGGGATGATCACTGAACCCATCCCTGACATTCGAAACCAGTATCCAGAGCACATAAGCAACATCATCTCCCTCCTCCAGGACCTTGTAAGTGTATTCCCTGCCAGCTCTGTACAAGAAACTTCCATGCTGGTTTCTCTCTTGCCAACCTCTCTTAATGCTCTGAGAGCCTCCGGTGTTGACATAGAAGAGGAGACAGAAAAGAACCTGGAAAAAGTACAGACTATCATTGAACATCTGCAGGAAAAGAGGCGAGAGGGCACCTTGAGAGTGGACACCTACACTCTAGTGCAGCCTGAGGCGGAAGACCATGTTGAGAGCTACCGAACCGTGCCCATTTACCCTACCTACAATGAAGTGCACTTGGATGAGAGGCCCTTCCTTCGCCCCAACATCATTTCTGGAAAATATGACAGCACTGCTATCTATCTGGATACCCACTTCCGACTCCTGCGAGAAGATTTTGTCAGACCTCTACGGGAAGGCATTTTGGAACTTCTCCAAAGCTTTGAAGACCAGGGCTTGAGGAAAAGAAAGTTTGATGACATCCGAATCTACTTTGACACCAGGATTATCACCCCCATGTGTTCATCATCAGGCATAGTCTACAAGGTTCAGTTTGACACAAAACCACTGAAGTTTGTTCGCTGGCAGAATTCCAAACGATTGCTCTATGGGTCTTTGGTATGCATGTCCAAGGACAACTTTGAGACATTTCTTTTTGCCACCGTATCTAACCGGGAGCAGGAAGATCTCTGTCGAGGAATTGTCCAGCTCTGCTTCAACGAGCAAAGCCAACAGCTGCTAGCAGAGGTCCAGCCTTCTGACTCTTTTCTCATGGTGGAGACAACTGCATACTTTGAGGCCTACAGGCACGTCCTGGAAGGACTCCAGGAGGTCCAGGAAGAAGATGTCCCCTTCCAGAGGAATATTGTGGAGTGTGATTCTCATGTGAAGGAGCCAAGGTACTTGCTAATGGGGGGAAGATATGACTTTACCCCATTAATAGAGAACCCTTCAGCCACTAGGGAATTTCTAAGAAATTTCGAGGGCTTGAGACATCCCAGAATTAATGTCTTAGATCCTAGCCAGTGGCCCTCAAAAGAAGCCCTGAAGCTGGATGACTCCCAGATGGAAGCCTTGCAGTTTGCTCTCACAAGGGAACTGGCTATTATTCAAGGACCTCCTGGGACAGGTAAGACAAAATTTTTCAGAGTACATAAGATCTGCTTTGTAAGATAGGCAAGGGACAAAACCTTGGCCCTACATTTCTAGAATGTCTTATTGTTTATTTTCCAACTTTTATTTTAGGTTTGGGGATACATGTGCAGGTTTGTTACATGTGTATTGCATGTTGCAGAGGTTTGGTTTACAGATTATTTTGTCACACAGGTAATGAGCTAGTACCCGATAGGTAGGTTGGTGGTTTTGTTTGTTTGGAGGCGGAGTCTCACTCTGTCGCCAAGGCTGGAGTGCAGTGGCACGATTCCAGCTCACTGCAACCTCCGCCTCCTGGGTTCAAGTAATTTTCCTACCTCAGCCTCCTGAGTAGCTGGGATTAACAGACACGTGCCACCACGCCCAGCTAATTTCGTGGTTTTAGAAGAGATGGGGTTATACCATGTTAGCCAGGCTGATCTCGAACTCCCGACTTCAGGTGATCTGCCCGCCTCAGCCTCCCAAATTGCTGGGATTACAGGCTTGAGCCACCATGCCCAGCCCCAATAGGTAGTTTTTAGGTTCTCACCCTCGTCCCACTCTACCCTGAAATAGGCCCTGGTGTCTGTTCCCCTCTTTGTGTCCATGTGTACTCAATGTTTAGCTCCCACTTATAAGTGAGAACATGTAGTATTTAGTTTTCTGTTCCTGCATTAATTTGCTTAGGATAATAGTCTCTAACTCCATCCACTTTGCTGCAAAGGACATGATTTTGTTCTTTTTCATAGCTGCATAGTATTCCGTGGTATATATTTGCCACATTTTCTTTATTCACTCCACCATTGTTGGGCATCTAGGTTGAATCCATATCTTTGCTTTTGTGAATAGTGCTTTGATGAACATGCACATACATGTGTCTTTATGGGAAAATAATTTCTATTCCTTCCCACTATATACCCAGTAGTGGGACTGCTAGGTCAAATGGTATTTCTGTTTTAAGTTTAAGTTTGAGAAATCTCCAAACTGCTTTCCACAGTGGCTGAATTAATGTACATTCCCACCAGCAGTGTATAAACTTTCCCTTTTCTTTGCAACCTCACTAGCATCTGCTATTTTTTTTGACTCTTTAGTAATAGCCAGTTTGACTAGTGTGAGATAGTGTCTCATTGTGATTTTGATTTGTACTTCTGTAATGATCAGTGCTGTTGATGTTGAGCATTTTTTTCATATGCTTGTTGGCCACGTGTTTGTCTTCTTTTGAGAAGTATCTGTTCATGTCCTTTGCTCATTTTTTAATGGGGTTGTTTAAGTTCCTTACAGATTCCAGATATTAAACCTTTGTTGGATGCAGAGTTTGCAAATATTTTCTCTCATACTGTAGATTGCCTGTTTATTCTGTTGACAGTTTCTTTTGCTGTGCAGAAGCTCTTTAGTTTAATTAAGTACCACTTATCAATTTTTGGTTTTGTTGCAATAGAATGTCTAGTTAATAACATTCCTCCCAAAATGGGCATAAAAATTATTTATAAAGTAGCTGCTCATAGGGATTTTCCAGTAGGAACCCATTGGCATGCATGGTAATAGATACAAGATTGCTAGAGGTTAAGTGTAGTGAGATGCGTTATCTCTGCTTTATATTAATTTGTTCAATTTTATGTTATTTTAAATAATATCAAATATGTAATAGCACTATGTGTAAAGCACCATTTTACTTGCTTCACATATGTTAACTAATTGCATCCTCACAACAACCTTGTGAAATAGAAACCATTACTAAAACCATTTTAAAGATTAAAAAAGCTAAGGCAAAGAAGGGTTAAATAGCCTCTTATTTAAGAGGTGGGAAGTATATACTGAAGTTCACACAGATGTTAAGTGACAAGTTTAGGAAATTAATTCAGGCAGTCTAGCTGTATAATCCTGACTCCTATCTGCCACATTGTACTTCTCATGGAACTATACCTTCCTACACCCTTCTTCCCATGTGCTAATCTCTAATTCTACTCTGGGGTCATAACTATTATTAGAAGAGGGAATGTAGGCTGGACACGGTGGCTCACGTCTGTAATCCCAGCACTTTGGGAGGTCAAGGCAGGCAGATCACGAAGTCAGGAGTTCGAAACCACCCTGGCCAAGATGGTGAAACCCTGTCTCTACTAAAAACACAAAAAAATTAGCCAGGCATGATGGCATGCGCCTGTACCCCCAGCTACTTGGGTGGCTGAGACAGAAGAATTGCCTGAACCCAGGAGGTGGGGGTTGCAGTGAGCCAAGATCACGCCTCTGTACTCCAGCCTGGGCAACTCCATCTCAAAAAAAAAAAAGGAAAAAAAAAAAGTGGGAATTTACATTAACAGTTAAAATAGCTACTGCTAAATTACTCTCCCAAAAGGAGAGTAAATTTATCAAAAAAAAAAAAAAATGTGCAAAAAAAAACCCAAACAGGAAGAAGTCTTTAAAAAAACACTGATTAAAGTAATGGCAACTCATGATTAAAAAAAAAAAAAAATCTTTAT